GAATGATTTTAATTAAGGTCACCAAGCCGATATGCAATGCATTTTAAAACTAACAACTATTCATTTACAGGAAACCAAGGCCGCAGCAAATGAATTTCAAAGTGGCAGCATATACCGAAGTCTGACAAGTACATTCTGAAGGAAGACGACAGAGGTGCACCTGATATGCGACATGTTCCCAGTTTCCAAACAAAAAGTGAGACTTTCATCGGATTTATTTACTGACAGAAAACATATCTGCAACTTCCCAGACTCTCTTGTTTGGATTCTCACGTCACACATCCCACAGCAACAAAAAGAAATGAAGTAAAACGGTCAAGGAAGAAAAAACAATGACTCATTTTAAAATAAAACGGTGACAAATTCGGAGATCTTGGTGACAAACACTCTAAAGCGATCGAATCAATTGTAGCTTAAAGCATATTTTAACAATCAACTAGTTACAAAACCTGTTTTCTTGAACCACACACATCTGAAAATCTGTGAATAATACAGTTATATTCCTGGATTTCTGTCTCACTTTTACAGTCTTTCAAGGTTTCAACGTGTATCCCATCGGCTCACCTCCTCCATGACAGTCTGATAAAGACATCCAACCAGCATTCCAAAGTTTGCCGGTACCAAGTACTTCGGTAGATCATAGATAGGCTGGAAGAGTTGCTTCAGCGCCCTTGACAATGCGTCTAACTGTTTTGAGGGCCGCGAAGGATCCTGAGCGCTAATTCGTTGATAGAGGTAATCAAGGAGCCACAAACCCTCGCGCAGATGATTACACACAGGGTGCCCCAGGTCATTATGCTGCGCCACGTTGCGCATCACCGAAACAATACCCTGCAGGCCGCAGAATACGAGATCACCGTAACGTGGAACGTAGTAAGGGGTGCGATGAAGCCCTGGCACATTTTCCTCGCGTTCGCAACGATAGAGGAGCCAATTAATGTCGGTTAGGGAGAGTTCGCCAATCAGGCGTTTGATCAGACCGTGCTCCACGGAGTCGGGATAGAGAGGAAGTAAGGCATCGGCGATAGCAATGGTGTTTGTGGGTAGAGAGGCTTTGCGTATGTCCAGCGTACGCAATCGTCGACCGAACTGAGATGGGTACGTTTGCATGAGTGGATAAATCAGAAGCATTCGACGTTCACTAGCAGTAATGAATATATCAGTAGGCGCATAGAAATACTTCAAATCTGGTGAATGACTTGCGCTACTTTGAGTGAAAGACTATTGCAAACAAATGACTGTTAACAATTAAACAAACAAAAAAGACTAGGTGCAAAAATATGGTGAGCAACGAGTAGCAGTGAGGCTAGCAGGCTAAGGTGCCTGCCATTGCTTTGTTCTCAAACGGACCAGACAGAAGAACATTAGAGAAGCAATTCGTCGGCTCAGTAGTGAAGATAACATATTCACTCTGAAGGAACGAAAATTTTGGGTTCGTAGACTAAGCACAACCCCTGAATTTTAGTCGAAAGCTAATCGCTTCGAAAGCCTGTGAAGATTTATAAATTCAAACAGTACTACCATTTCACCAGCTTCTAATAACCACTATGAGGTCCTAAAGTGGGCACATAAGCCCTGAAAAGTTTGATAAAAACCAATCTTTCATTATTTCTTGAAGGATCACCAAAACCCAACAAGGTGACAGCAATCAAACTTGGGTCTTCAGCAAAACTTGTTATCTTATGAATCCAAAAACAGCAGCGCAATAAGATAATCAGCAGCAGACAAATGCATTTTAAATGTGATATTTGTTTTAAAATAAGTTAACATGGTCGAGAAACTGACTGAATAAAATGAATTGTTTTGCTGTTTTGCTCCAGGATCCCCTTGATTTTATGATCTGATGATGAATCCTGTTTAGGGGCAATTAATGCATTCCAGCTTGAACGGTGAAGGCCCTAACCGAAAGATGTCTGAATGTAAGATCCTGTTTCGCAACTGTTAATGTCTCTAGAATTCAAGCTTGTGTAGAAATGTTTGGTTTTCACAGAAGATGTGAGATGAGACTGGCACAGACGTTAAA